GTGATTCTCACCCTCCATTATTAATAATTAACGCCTTTATTTATTTCTGTCCACCTACCAGGGCAGCAGAAGCACGGCTCATTCCCATCGCGGCTCTCGCATTTAATTCTCCATCCTCTGGTTCAGCACAAATAAGGACGACGGTGCCACTGAATCATTGAATTGCAGAAAATGGCAGCCCGGTGCTGTGCTCCCCAAGCATTTTCAGCTCCCGGCGAGCTTGTCACACCCGAAACGGTTTGTGGCACGCCGCAATAGTTCAAACTCATCAGCACTAATGTTGCCAGAAACAAACTTTCACCTTGAACCGAAACATAGGCTGCAAATTCTAATCAGAAATAGCGGACATCCCATTTTAAACACAGGCTCTTCTAATTCCACAGCACGCCTGAGACCTTTCCACAGCACGCCGGTGGGTCCTGCACACACTGTGGGCGGCAATGCTCAAGAGCCTTTGCTATTTGTTTTATTCATCGTGCACTGGGATACGAGAAACATGCAGCGGGGCTTGTCCGAAAATCTTGTGGCAAAACGGATTCAGCTGTGGGTTAAATGACAGTTAAATGGGGTGATGAGTCAGTATCCAATGTCCATCGTGGGTAAGGCCTTGGAGGTGTTAATAATGAAGACAGAAGATGTAATTATTGCACTTTAAATGGATGACTTTGAATGGTAGTTTTTAATAGAAAAGTGGCACTGAACAGCACAAGAACAGGAATGGAACTGCCTGTCTTCTCTTGCACGACCTCGGGATCGACCTCACGCTCGACCTCCTGGAGGTCACAGGCCGGCCTGTACTCACTCCCCACGCCCAGGGTGACCACGGCAGTGGACGTCCCCGCCGGGCTGCTGGCCACACAGCTGTATTCCCCGGCATCCGTCTCCTGCACCTGGCCGATCCGCAGGGTCCCACGCCGGGCGTCCTGCTGCGCAGAGGGGAGCGTCCCCACCTGTCGATCACCTGGACACACAGAGGCTTAGCGTGAGCGCTCGCTCTTCACAAGTGGCCGTGTGGCCCCATAATCCCCCATGACACCTTGAGACACGGTGCATTTTTAAAATCGCCCCCAAAACTGAAAGAGGGTTAAAAGACAGAGGTGCATAGCGCTGGCTCTTGAAACCTGGGATGACATGGGTTTTATCGAGGTACGAGCTGAAAACGGCCTCAACGAGACCCGAAAGGGGCATTTGACGTCCTAACCCACTTCACTGGTTCGATTAAAGGTCTGATATTTTTTTCGAACAAATTCTTAATTCGGTTTTGACCAAGGATGTCGGAACAGTAACAGAGCAAGCATGAGCAATGGGTTAAGGGTTTCACAAGGTTTGCTGTAATGTAATCAATGATCATTAAGCACCAATGCCAGTTTTAAAAAAATTCCAGGTTATTTTGGTATTTTATTTTGATTTGGGGTCAAGCTGCTCTGCTATAAAGGGCCCTGAGAATGGCCATATGGCCCAATAACCTTGCAATAACAAAAACATACTGAAACTCTAGTTTTTCACCCCTCGGTTTCTATCGACCATGGTAGATTCCAGGCTCTGCCACCAATCTCCTGCTTTCTGTCACAGTGCTGCCAGATGGATCTTGGCAGTGTGTTCCCAAACCTGCGGCACTTCCCAGTTCCCAAAGCCACTGAGGCCTTGCAGCTCCCAGGCCCCACACGGCCGTATCTCCCAACTCTGAATCCAGGAAAACCTTATGGACTGCTTCCGGAAGGAGCATTGTCCTACCGCGTCGTGCAAAAAGCAGACACTTTCACCATGAAACAGGAGCAACAGCTGATAAAAGAAATGTGTCGGAGGTGCTGGCGGGAGGCGAGCTGGAGTGCATGTGTCTTCCTATGTACTGTCCACTTGTTTTACTACTTCATGACCCTGATTACCTTTGTACCATGTGACCAGTGGGGGCGGGACTCCAGTGGGCTGGCATTCCAAGATGGCCTCCTCTCCAGCTGCCACCAGCACTGCTGGGTTCACCACAGATATGCCCGGAGGCTCTGGAAGAGGGGGTGGGGTCAGAGATCAAAGGGTAAAGTGCAGTCGCATACCACAGGTCACATCTAAAACTGTGTGTTAGATTTTAGACTGGAAAGTATGCTTGCCGACCAGGGGGAGGGCTATAAACATGACAAACAAACTGTAAACAAGCAAAACAAACAGGCAGATTGTGTCTGCCACTGGAGAAATAGCTGTTGTGCTGAAGTTCCACTAAGTATGCCAAGAGGGTAATGGAGAAGATACAATAAACTCAATTGTTTACAAAATACCTTAGATGCAAAATTACTAAAGACAGGATAAAAAAATATGCCCTGGAATTCTGAAATGACACAGCCCTGAACACTGATGAATAGCTGATCAAATCAAAACGATCAACTCTGAGACTAACTGTTAGCGCAGGATGGAGGAGAAAAGGAGATGATTTGTCCCCAGTGAAACTGCTGGCGGTCTGAACTGTTTCAGCCTCAGCACAGAGCTGCCTACAGAGACAGGACAGCGCTCTCACCCGTGTAGCTCAGAGTGACCGTCTGCGTATCGCTGCCTGCCTCGTTGGACGCCAGGCACGTATAGCTCCCAGCATCCTCTGGGACGGCCTCTCTGATGGTCAGGGTCCCATGCGGAGAAACGGAGACTCTGAGGGAAGCAACAGGAGAAGAGCTCAAAGAAAAGTCTTTATCCCCTCCACTGCACTACCTTCCACTGCCTTTAAACGAACCTCATGTGATGTCTTTAAACCTGGAGTCCAGAACTTTCATGTTTATGTTTCTGTGTGTTCGCCAGCGGTTAAGTATCCACTGACTTGGCTCAATTAACTAATTAACTCATAAATTAATTAACTTAACTAAGAACAAAAAGAGCCCATGTCTGTCCTAGGCCTGTTCCAGCAGCCATATCACCCTGCAACTCACAACTGGCAACCCACTGAAGCTAAGCAGGTGTGAGCCTGGTCAGTACCTGGATGGGAGACCTCCT